ATTATATTATATTATATTATATTATATTTTGAGTATGTTTCGTATCAGATAGGGTTCAGAATTGTATATTTTTCAGAAAATTTTGTTCTGAATTTTCTTCAACGAAATATGCAATTCAATATAGCATATACTGCTATGAAAAATGATGCTATTTTTCTCGTAGTCCAGATCTCAATCATCAAAGATTTGTGAAAAGTGGCTATAAGAGGATGCAAATTCCCACCACTCTCCTCTAATGCTCTAGTACATACATAATTATATTTTGTTCAAAATTTTGAATGAAATTATATCAGATATTCTGTCTGTATAGGTTGAACGAAGAGAGATATGATCCCAAATAATCAAGCAGAATGAAATTATATCGGTTCAAATTCAGAGAGTATGCAACATCGTTGTAAATCATTGATCTGAATCTGAAAATCTTACTCAAAACTAAAAATGTTTTGGTTGCTAGTGCTCGAAGTTCTTTCTAGAATAAATCATGACCAAAGTCCGCCATTAAAAACATGATGTTTAATAACAATGCATATTTTCGTAAGTAATCGAAATATTAATGTAAAATGGTGAGGAAAATGTTCAAAGAATATAGGACTATGATAGTCAGATGGCAGCTTGCACCTTGCTTGTATATTGCTGCTGCTATACTACTCCTGGTATCAATTTCACAAGAATTTCCTAATGAAACGAAAACGTTCCAAAAGAAAACATAAACCTACAATTCACAAATGAGTCCATCAAAATCAGACTGAACATTCGCGAAAAAATGATTGCGAACACTTTTGGTGTTGCTCGTCAATTTTTTTGGCCAGTGTAGAATCAGATATACTTGGTATCATAGTGATGCAATACAAGTGCAACACAACTAATGGTAAAATGTTTGTCATTTCGAGGGTTATTCTCATTATTCGATGTCATCCTGCTGCAGATTCTGTTGCAACAGGCTCATGATTTTCAAGTTTGGATGATCAGTATTATGTAATTTTTTTAATTTGGGAAAATATAATTTGGTTCATTGGACACGAACCCTCAATATTCCATCTTTTCGAATTCTTCTTTGAATGGACCTTCTGCTTTTATACTCTCACATTCTATATATCTTCAATTTCAATGAGGATATTGAAAATTTAGGTGAAGTTTACTACACAGTGTGATTCTTGATCAGGACTCATTCGACTTATCACAAAAAGAAAGGTATTGATGTGGATCAATTTTTCACAAATATTATGATCTCAACTAAACTTAGTGATCCTATAACAATTGTCGTATTCTGAACAGTGCGACGCAATGAATTCAATGCATGGCCTATACTGACTATACAAGATATCCAGAAATCACATAAAAGGATTTCAACCACAGATTCTAGGATAAAAAATGGCAAAAAAAGTTCTTATGAAGATGGGTCTAGAAATGGTCCCCTAGGATAGGTAGGTTGGACTCACATGCAATTGAATAACATAGTAATTGAATCAACTCAATTCAAAAATTGAGTTTTTGATGTTCCCTTTCGTATGAAAATCGAATATACGTATTCATTTGAAATAATTCGAGCCATATGTACAGGGTGATTCACCATAAATGTCCCCTCCTCTAGCTCACTTATTTTTCAACCGATTTAAAAATTTGAAAACTCATCTGAAATGGTTTTTCAAAAATTTTTTTTCCGTTGCATCAGAAGATACAGGGTGCTCGGAACAAACGATCTGTTTATGTTCGGTGGTTGAAGCGAGGAATAACTGCAACCAAACAATAGATGCATCAAAATAAATACAGTGTGTCCCAAATTCGATCCTCACCATTGGGATCTCAGTAACTCAGATAGAGAAACGTTTAAATTAGCAAAGTTGTAGCAAATTTAATGTTGAATCAGAATCTATCGAGAAATCCAGGCTAGCTACAGTCATTCTTGAGTTTTTTGAGAAAAAATGAAATCTTGTATTTTTGTTTTTCCCGAATATCTCGGAAACTATTGATTTCATGGAAAAATGATTTCAACATTCTCATAGCACTTTTTGGCGTTCTTCTCAATGGTTTTGTCAGTTTTTCATCGAAATGTCAAATTTCTAAGATATCACCTACAACTTCGGTGTTTCTCATGGACGCCATATTGGATTTTCACAGATTTGAAATCAGCATAAAATTTACTTTTTAGTGATGTATCACAGTCACAGTTTTATCTTATGAGGAGTTCTGATTTCCAATTTTTGTTTTTATGTCCAGAAGGCTATGCGCTAAACTCTCTATAAACAATAACGATTTATGTTCTGGCACAACTTTCATAGAGTAGGCTTGGAGCCAAGTGACATTTCTGTAAACGACAAGAGGAAATACAAGTTAATTATTTCGGGGCAAACAATACCGTTCACAAAAACCAGTGACAGTAACAAGGGTTAAGACCTGGTGATAATGAACGTCGTCCCGAGTTTTGTCACTGGTTCGTCCAGTGTGAAAGAATCGATATCTCGAAAATCAATTTGGTGCTAAATCAATTACTACTCATGGGCCTGTTAGATGGCCTCCAAGGTCGCCTGATTGTACGCCTCTCGATTTTTACCTGTGGGGCTACGCCAAAAATAAAATTTATGAAGAGCCACTTCAAGATATTGATGATCTACGAGAGAGTGATGGACACATTCCAGCACATCAACAGAGTTTATCTGAGAAAAGCAGCGAATCATGTTCGCTCGCGAATATTAAAATGTATCGAGAACAATGGGCCATTTCGAGCAGTTCAATTATTTTTTTTTAGTATTTGTATTATCCACCTGTTGAGTTATGCAAGAACATAGAACACAGATTCCATAATCTAAGGTAAAAGACATGGTGGAGTGAAGTAGTAACTAATAACACAACATAATGAATTGTCGTAGAGATAACTTAGAGTATTATTTATTAGTTACAGAATTCATAGCCTACTGGACATAAAAACAAAAATTGGAAATCAGTACCTCAAATAAAATAAAACTGTGACTGTGATACATCACTATTACAAAGAAAATTTTATGCTGATTTCAAATCTGTTAAAATCCAATTCGGCGTCCATGAGAAAAATTGAAGTTGTAGATGATATCTCACAAATTTGACATTTTGATGGAAAACCGACAAAACCATTGAAAAGAACACCAAAAAGTGCTATGAGAATGTTGGAATAATTTTTTCATAAAATCAATAGTTTCCGAGATATTCGACCAAAACAAAAATACAATATTTCAGTTTTTCTCAAATAGCTCAAGAATGACTAAAGCTAGCCCAGATTTCTCAATAGATCCTGATTCAACATTAAATTTGCTGCAACTTTGCCGATTTAACCGTTTCTCTATCTCTCATAGTTACTGAGATCCCAATGGTGAGGATCGAATTTGGGCACACTGTATACAATGCCAATTCAGGATCGACACTCAGAAATTGTTCCAATGGCTTCCGTTTGTTTTGATCCTTCGCTGAAGCAGTCGGGAGAAATTTCACTAATATTTCATTCACACCACTTTCCAAAGCCGACGGCACATTAGCAACAATATCGCAGGAGGAAGCGAATATTTTTGCAGAGATGTTTGCAGCAGACTCTACTTCAGATTCCCAAGGAAAAGTGCCGCCAGATATTCCACCCTTTGAAAGTCGAATGCTCGAAATCGTCTTCCGTCAACGCAGTATCAGACGCATTTTGCTCGGTCTCAAATTGAATAAGGCTAACGATTCCGAATTCCACCTATAATCCTCAGGAAAACTGCACCAGAATTAACACCGGTTCTCTGCAATTTATTTACCATCTCGTACAAGTCGGGCATTTTTGTCATCATGCTGGAAGAGATCTAGAGTCCAACCAATTCCCGAAAAAGAGAACAAAAACCAAACAACTACAGGCCTATTTCCCTGCTATCAGTAATCTCCAAAGTGATGGAGAAAGCCATCAACATAATCTAATCAAATATCTGGAAAGCTCAGGAAACATTAATGATAGACAATATGGCTTTCGCCTGACGTGCTGGTGGACGGTGTATTGCCGATACCATCCCCACCAACTTGCCCTATCCACAGCTTCGCAGATGATAGTACTCTCCATATACATGCGTTCTTTTCAGAAATCCCCATGTCTTCTCAGGAGACTTAGATCTCACGGCGAAGACAGGTGAATGCTGTCAATGGAGAGCTTGCTAAAATCACAGCCTGGGGAACGAACTACCTAGTCGAATTCAACGCCACCAGAACTCGAGCCTGTTGTTTCTCTAGAAAGGCGGGACTCAGTATATATGTCTGATATAACAATGTCTGGTAGCACCATATCCACCAAGTCCACTATATCTCTGCTCGGTATTTCCATCAGAAATATTCTTTCATGGGCTAATCATGTCAGATCCATCGCGAAAGCAGCTTTAAAAAAACTCGCATTTTTGTTCAGTGCGAGAAGCTACTTCACACCTCAACAGTTTCTCATGATCTACAAAGCACATACGGCCTGTTCTAGAATACTAAAATATTGAAATTTGCCATTGAATAATAACTAATACCCTAAATGAGCTATGACGTTGACATTTTCATTGGGTATTTCAAGCATGCCTGAATCGAATAGGCTTTTCACTATTTCGAAAAAAAAATTGACCTATAGTAATTTTTTTAAAATTTGATCCATCAATTAACGTGAACTGCATTTTTGCAACCTCATTATGTAGGATTGGATGTATCTAGAATGTTTCACAGATAAATCACCAGTTCACCTAGGCCCAGGGGGGTCATGACCCCCATGAACCCCCTTCTGGATCCGTCCTTTGTAACTGATTCCTAGTTTGAGTTAAAACCCGAAATTACCTATTGTGTATTATTCGAAATAAGTGTAATGAGTACTGATCAAGAATCAGAGAGGGGTGATTAGCCATGGGTGGGTATCTATTTCAAAAACTAGGTTATTGTCTATTATACCTACCCTTGACAAATATCTTCCAGATATGTAAAAACCGACAAAAAAGTTCACCAGTGAAATTTACATACATACATAAATTCCGTCAGGGTCAGGAATACAAACTAGAACATGGATTAAATATAGGTGATATGGAGTCCTCAAAAGGTGGAACTTCAGCTTTCTTCCAGTCATTCCTTATAGTCTCTACTTTTTCGAAAACCCTCAATAAATTCAAACCAGCTAAAGCCACGATATCCTTCTCACTCCATGCAGGATCAGCTAGAAGTTCCGCTAATAAATTAGGATATCGGGAAACATCCTCTAAGCCACTAGGAGTCATATTGATTCCATCGTATCCAGCACCGATCCCGACATGGTCAATACCAGCCACCAATCTTATGTGGTTAATATGGTTGATGACATCTTGTATACTGGCAGTATTATTGCAAGTTACGTGGTAACTGTAAAAATTAACCATGATCACTCCACCGTAATGAGCTATCAGCTTCAATACGTCATCATGAACATTCCTCGATGAATTACACAATGCATAAGCGCTCGAGTGAGAAAACATAACAGGCGCTTGTGAAATATTCAGAGCTTCTTTGGCAGTGTTTATTGAGGAATGGGATAAATCAATTATCATTCCTAGTCTATTCATTTCCCTGATCACGTTTTTACCGAATTCAGAGAGTCCTTCTGTAGATTGTGTATGAGATCCTGTAGCCCATGGAGTATCACAGTTATGAGTTATTGTGAGGTACCTAGCACCAAGATTGTAAAATGTTCGTAGAACTGCCAGAGAATTGCCCAAAGCATGACCACCCTCCACCCCAATCAGCGAAGCTATACGTCCTTCTTTATGAACACTCTGTATCTCTTGTGGGGATCTCACCATGACGAAGTCGTTCGAATTATATTCAACAAATCTTTTGATGACATCTATCTGCTCTAAAGTAACTTGTACGGCATCCAAGTGTTGAGCTTTACAGGGGACATATGCCGACCAGAACTGCCCACCAATGAGACCAGCCTTGAGTCTTGGTATATCGGTGTGAGACCATCTGCTTTTCGACCATGGTAAGTCTTTGCTCATAGCACTCAAGTTCAAGTTATTCAGCCTGTTGTGGACGAATTTCCTCAAGTTCCATGGGAGATCATTGTGACCATCTATTAGTGGCACTTCCGTTAGAAGTCTTTTAACGATTTGTAACCTCTCTTCTGCTGAGGAAGGCTCTTGTTTTGAACTTAGGATAAGTGGAAGACAGAGGCCTACAGTGAGTGTTGCCACTAAGACGCATACTATTATACAAATACACCATGGTCCTCGAAATGAAGTTCTCTTTGACTCACTTCCCGAACTGCAGGAGCAGGATTCGATGGAACCGTGGTAGTCGTAGGAATGATAATATTCACCTATACCATTATAGTATTGAGGCACATTGAAGGATGTCTCTTGGCCTGGGAATAGCTGTCTTTGTGGATATTCTCGAACCTGGAAATATAAAGAAAAATTAAACATTTTTTGTAATATTTACTTCAAGATTCAAGGAGTATGAGAGGTGGTACAATGGTAGAAGTGCCTTTTCATTTATTTCTCATTTCTTTGTTATGACCAAATTTTTTTTCAAAATTATCTTCTTATTGAATGTGATTTTTTCTACGGCTATAACACAAAATTGCTCTTGTTCAAATGTGTTCGATAGATCAATGAGATACTTTGTATGACATCAATTTTATTTCCGTATCTGATACACAATGACTCTATTATTTCAAAGAAATCTCATCTTTTATTGAATGTAAAATTTGAAGCAATGTCAGCTCTGTCTAATAGATGAGCATTTCTCGACAGGAAATCAGATGGCTACAAGTGTATAACTCGCAAAGAATGCTTATCTCCCACTCGTGAGAAATCACTATCATTCCGTGCTCGTTAAACTCTACTTAGTGATCACTGTATCAGCACCGCAATAGATTTTGGATGAATATATTGAATCTTTGTAAAGATGTATAGTATTCGAGGAGAGGCACCAAGATGAAGTTTAGATGGAGGTATGACCTGATTTATTGACTATATCTGTTTTGATATTCTAGATAATCACGAACAAAACTATAGATGGCGCTAAATAGTTCAAGTCCTATGGAAAAGATGTTAACAATATTTATGTTCTCAATGAAGATCAGTCGTTTTCAATCCTATCATATGTATCTGAACGTTTGCTTGAATATCATTTATAGAAGGTGGAAGTCATCTCACACAACCCATACCAGATCATTGAAATGCTGTGGAATTGTGTTCATCATAAATCACTACACTCTCAGCTATGGAATATGATGAATTCAAGACCTCCAATAAAGGTTCAAGTGTGTGGAATATAATTATAATGTTGAATGTACCTACCGGATATTTCTCAAAAGTGGCTCAACCCTATAACTTTTTTGTTTCTACAGCTACATGAATGGAATATGGTGTAAGTATAGTACATGAATATGCATCATTTTAACGTATCCGTTTCGTGTCGCTTCCGGTTTGACCGGAACTGACCCATATTTTATTATTTCAAATGATACACCCGCGGTATTTTTTCAGTTATTTCGAAAGAGTAAGAGTACAATGACGCCCCATTCACCATTTTCCGACATTTATTATCCTGAAATTTCTATTTTTCAATTTACAATCTAGAGTGCCATGATTGATGAGAATAGTATAGAGAGAATAGCAAAGAAGAGAATAGAATAGAATAGAATGGGATAAGTTTATTATGATAAGAATTAATACCTGTCTACAATTCGTCAGGATTATATGTAGAATTAATACAATACAATAATAGTAATGAGTACCTACTCTCAAAAATAATATGAGTTTTAGTGACACTGATATATAGGTAGGGCAATTCCACCAGTTTGTAAAAACACTTCGTTTCGAACTCTGAATACGGTATTAACACTAACTATCAGGCGGCTCTATAAAAACACTGGAATACAATAGCAGATAGCAGTTGTGGCAAACAATTGCCATCAATTGTTCAACACACATTTTGATCGATTGATGCGTTGAAAAGAAACTGTATTTTGAAATTACATTTTAATTTTCTGCAACTTTTGAACGTATACGTAATACGCTGGATTCCTCTTTTTACCAGGTTTCCAATGAGGGGTCACAAGCCATAAGGGTAAAACCATGTTGAGGGTGGTTTCAGCTACCCCTGGAGGGATATATTCTCGATATCGCTTACAAAAGGTAGGTAAATACATTAAATCGTTGACGTATGCAGGGAATTTTTGGAAAAAATATTCACCTTCCCGCTGAAGACTTCATTCCAGTTAAAGTCTTCATACTGTATAACAAGGAACCTCGAGAATATACAGACAAGCTAGTGGGAGAATGGTTAGTTGTATGAACAGAGTGGCTTGCAATGGTGAGACCTTGGTTCATTGAGGATGGTTTGAATATTTTTTTGGGTGAAAACGAGATTTTTGAAGACTGGGGAGGTACCCCACAGAATTATGCCATATATTAGACGTGATTACATTTCGGCAAAATAAAACATTCGCAGACTATCAATATATATGATTATCCTCATACATCTGAGTTGATGAATTCTGAAATTCATCTTACTTCAATTGGGCAGTTTGAATCATGCCAGTCCAGTGTGATTCCTGTAGTGTGATTCCTGAAAATTTCATGGTATCTACTCGTTCCAGATTAGTTGTTCAATTGTAACGCCTGTGGATCAACTGTCCTTTGTTTAATATGAAATATAAAAAAATTTGTTTCACTGAGGTTTAGATAAAGCTGGTTTGCCGAGAACCATGTAAATTGCATTCATTCTGACAGAAGGATTCGTGTGAGATGAAGAAGAAGAAGTCATCAGCGTAGAGAGTGATCATATAACCTGGCAATTGATCAATTAGATCAGCAATATAGAGGAAAAAAAGCATAGGTGCTAAAATACTGCCTTGCGGAGGTCTGTGGTGTTGGATGGGTTGCGTTCGCCTCAATTTTAGATTCACCCAATTTTCGATCGGCCCAATTTTCGATTCGCCCAATTTTCGATTCACCCAATTTTCGATTCGCTCACCATATCCAAATATACCCGAACGATGCGTTGTTGCCAAATTTTTTTTGTCGCTTGGAGCGCACGGAAGGAAATCCCCCCCATCGCCCGGTGCGATACCACCACATCAACCATAGGCACTGTGAAATGGGTATACTTACCCGTGTTTCAGTAGCTGCTTGATGTTCCGGCCAACCCAACCCAACCCAATTTCATACCGTGTGGTGGTCGGATTAGAATACCCCCACGGTAAGTCCTGCCTGTCGTAGAAGGCGACTAGAAGGACGCCAATAGGTGGAAGATGGCTAACGCCATCGCCCGGTGCGATACCACCACATCAACCATAAGCACTGTGAAATGGGTATACTTACCCGTGTTTCAGTAGCTGGTTGATGTTCCGGCCAACCCAACCCAACCCAATTTCCTTTTCCTTCCACGCCAACCTCCCTTCTTTAAACAGAATAAGCGATGATGAGTTCTCCTGAAGTGAAATTATCCGGAAGTAAAATACCTCTCCATTCGGATTTACGGGCGAGAGGTACTAGAGGGAATATACCATCGACTGGAAAAGTCCTCAAGATAGACCTATGTAACATCCGAGGTCTAAGTAAGAAAATCAACGATGTCCATCGACACCTTCAGATTGAAAAGCCAGATATACTGGCTCTTACTGAGACCCAGGTCAATTCATCCACCAATACGACGTATCTGCTCTGTCCTGGGCACGAACACCACACACGTTTCAGATTCAAGGGAGGTCTCTGCCTCTACTCTAAAACGAATCTCTCATGTCAACGAGAAAAAACTTTGGAACCAAATAAGTTTGATGTCATGTGGTTCAAACTCGATAGCCAGAAACAGACCAAATACCTTTGTTGTCTGTACTTATCACCAAATGATCTATCCTATAAAGAGCTCTTCGAATTCTTGTCTCTGAAGCTTGACCAAATTCAACAGAACCATCCAGCAGCAGAAATCATCATCATGGGCGATTTCAATGTACACAACACTGCTTGGCTCGTACACTCTAACAGAACGGATGAAGCTGGGCGACAAGCCGAAGCTTTCGCCATCACTCACGGCTTAAAGCAGCTTATCAAAGAACCCACACGAATTCCCGATGCCAATAACCATTCAGCTAACATACTTGACTTATTCCTCACTAATAATTCAGTACCCTACACCATAGATGTACCAGCTCCACTTGGCAATTCTGACCACACACTCATCTCCACAACCTGCCCATTTTCATTCCATCAACTGCTCCGGCACCCCCACGTTTTATATGGCATTACAATTCAGGAGATTAAGACGGTCTCCGCATGTTTTTCTCCGAGTTTCCTTGGCATAGAGTATGCTTTGGCTCTGAGGACCCTTCACAGTGTGCTGAAGAAATATCCGGGATCATCATGCTCGGAATGGACGCATACATACCTCATTCTTCGACAAGATCATCACCATCGAAACCCTGGTTCAACAAAAACTGTTCTAGAACTGTTGCCTTGAAACAAACAGCCTACCATCGCTGGCGCCAAAACCCTAAACTCGCGACTAGAGCAGAATGCGATGATGCCAGGAATAACTGCCGCCAAACAATAGATGCTTCGAAAGAAACATACAATGCCAAGATAAGATCGAAACTCATAGATTGTCCCAATGGCTCCCGTTTGTTTTGGTCCCTTGCTAAAGCGGTCGGAAGAAATTTCACTAATAGTTCATTTTACCACTGTCCAAATCCGACGGCACATTAGCAACAACATCGCAGGAGAGAGCAAATATTTCTGCAGAGATCTTCGCAGCAAACTCTACTTCAGATTCCCAAGGAAAAGTGGCGCCAGACATCCCACCCGTTGAGAGTCGAATGCCCGAAATCGTCTTCCGTTAACGCACTATTAGACGAATTTTGCTTGGTCTCAAAACGAATAAGGCTAACGGTCCTGATGGAATTCCACCCATTATCCTCAAAAAATGTGCACCAGAATTAACACCGATTCTCTGCAAGTTGATTACCGTCTCGTACAGGTCGAGTATTTTTCCATCATGCTGGAAGACAGCTAGAGTCCAACCAATCCCCAAAAAAGGGAACAAGAACCTGCCCAACAACTACAGGACCATTGCCCTGTTATCAGTTATCTCCAAAGTGATGGAGAAAGCCAGTCTGTTGTTGGATGGTTCTGTTGAATTTGGTCAAGCTTCAGAGACAAGAATTTGAAGAGCTCTTCATATGATGGATCATTTGGTGATAAGTGGAGACAACAAAGGTATATGGTCTGTTTCTGGCTATCGAGTTTGAACCTTTCGACTGAAGAAAATGTTTTAATTCAGAGGACATAAACGACGAGTCTCGATCTGAATGGATGAAACAAGGTGAACCAAACACCGAGAAAAGCATAGACGAATGTTTTATGACTCTGACAGCTGATAGACCAACACATGG